GCTGCTCCAAAACGATCGGAGCGATTCTCGCTCCCTCCTCCATTTCCCCCTCCTAAAAACTCACTCCCCACTAGCTTGCCCTAAATATCAAAACCATGTGGAAACAACAATGTAGGCGTATTCCATCCGTGCAGGAATATGCTTGGAATTTCTTAGAAACGATTTGAAATTTAGGGCGGGTTTTAAAGAGGGGGTTTTATTTTGGCGATGGCGTCGTGGTGCTGTGGAGCGGTCTCCAATCTCGGTAGCGGCGGCTATGGCGTGGCGTCTCACAATGCGAGGATCCGGGGCGGCTCTTTGCGGTGCGCTGCCGCCGGTCGCGATGACGATGGAGGGAAGTCAGGTATGCGTGATCGCTCGGTTGGAAATATCGTAAATCCTGTGTGGTTCTTGATCAAGAATCCAAGCCCTGGCAATCTCGAGCGGCCGCATTCACGCTTGCGGCGACAGTTCTTGCGACGGGTATGAATGCCGGGGCGGAGCTGAATAAATTCGAGGCCGAATCTCGAGGGGAGTTTGGCATAGGATCAGCAGCGCAATTTGGCTCGGCAGATTTAAGGTAACTGTTAGTGAAATATTTTCTCTTCGATGCTTAGCTTCGCTTCATATCGTAGGCAGACAAGCCACGCAAACGAGAATTTCAGGTAAGAACTTAATACCATCGCTAGATTCTATGGAACTTTGGATGAGCAGGAGAGCAAATTTTACATCGGCTGATATGAGAGAAGCGGACTTCAGTGGGAGCACATTCAACGGTGGCTATCTCGAGAAGGCTGTTGCATATCGCACGAATTTTAGCGGTACACTCAATGGAAAGAGTTTGTAGATCGCTCTGTGAGCATGAATTGTTCCTTTGCCAGGTGCGGATTTGAGCGACACTCTTATGGACCGGATGGTAATTGAGCGACACTAGATTTTCACTCACGAGTTCTGACATTTCATTTCTTTTTTACCAGGTGCTCAACGAAGCAGACTTGACCAATGCACTTCTCGTCAGAGCCGTTCTTACCCGCAGTGATCTTGGTGGTGCCAAAATCGAGGGTGCCGACTTCAGTGATGCTGTCCTAGATCTTGCACAAAAACAAGTGAGTTATCCTTTTTGTTGTTATCGTTGTTTCATGTTTCTTTGTGTTCTCGAGTTCTGCCAGGCTTTGTGTAAATACGCGAACGGAGTGAATCCGGTCACCGGCATGGACACGCGAAAAAGCCTTGGCTGCGGGAACGCTCGGCGAAATGCCTACGGTACACCGTCCGCTCCAATCTTGAGTGCCCCACCCGAGAGGCTTCTCGACAAGGATGGATTCTGTGACGACGCGACTGGCAAGTGTGCACGAACACCTTAAACGCTTGGGTAAGTTTTTCTTTTGGGTATAGGGTTTAAGTCATGTTTGTGAGACGACAGTGCGGCGTCTTTCACAGGCAATGGAGATGTATGCATAGCTGCAATGCCGGTGCCGGGGCGCTATCGGATACACGTGAAGGGCATAATTCAGGGATTGTGGGTGAGTCGTTTGCCAAGGTAACGAGTTTTCTCAATACAAAAGAGCTAGCTTTGGATTTCTTCTCGTGGGCTGCTCTTCGGCAGCCACAATGTCTTGAGGATGAGAGGTTTTGGTGTCTTCCAGATCTAAGGATGCTTCTGGAAGAAGGCTATGGCCGAAAAAGTGAACCGCACTGCTTTGCAAGCTTGCAAAATGGTTTCGAGCTCCGCATTGCCGTTTGGGAAGGCGATGCGTCAACGGCTTTCAGGGTCCTCAGAGGTGAAGCGTCTGCAATGCTGAAAAGAATGTCTATGCAGCTAGACAAGCCAGCAGTAACATCCTTTACGACTATCACGGAAAACATTTGCAAGGCAGGCAAGTTTCACAAAGGCTATTGGCTGCTTAATCATCTGCTATGTTCCGGGAAGCAGGATATGGGAATTTCTATCGTCAAGTGCCTTCTCACTATTTTCCGGCTAGTGAAAGCGCTTGAGCAGCTCAGTCTTATGATCGATACAGGGTGCACTTTTGACAGAGAAGCATCTCGTCTCGTCATCAACAAGATGTGCAAGGCCAACAAGGTGGATGATGCGATGAAAGTTTTGAAAGTGGCGAACAAGCTGCATGGTCCAGACATGGTTTCTTTCAACACAGTAGTTCGGGGACTGGCTGCATCGGACAGGATACAGGAAGCTATGGACTTTTTCGGGAGGGAAGGCATGACTCCAAGCTCCAGCACTTACAACATTATCATCGAAGTTTTTCTTGAGCAGAACAGACTCAATGAAGCGTTTGATTTCTACCAGGAAGCTGTTGATAACGGGCAAGTTCGGAGCATCGGTTCGGCCTTGGCAATGTTGTTTCAAGGGCTCGTCTGGGGTCACAGGTTCAGGGAAGCGCTGGAACTTTTGGAAACATACGTTGACATCGGTGGTGTTCCTACAGCAGCAATGAACGCCGATATCGTATTGTGTCTCTGCCACGTTGGGAAGTTGGACGAAGCACTGGAGCTTTTCCACAGTCTGGTTTCAGATGGTTGCGGCTTACCGGCAGATTTGCTCGTCCGCGAGCTGTCCAAAGCGGGACGAGCTGAGGAGTGCTTAAAGGTGGTGAAGCTGATGCTTGACAGGCAGCAGCTGCGGGAGCGCCACCTTGTCAACATTACGATCGACAGCCTTTGCAAGTCAGACATGATCGACAAGGCCGAATCGTGGTTCCAAGAGCTTAAGGATTTTCGTGGCCTTGTCAATACCGTCAGCTATAACATCTTGATCAACGCGTTTTGCAAGACGAAACGCATAGACGAGGCCATCCAGCTCTTCGGAGAAATGAAGGCACCGGGCTGTGCTCCTTCTACTTCCACCTATAACACACTGATTGGAGGCTTGTGTCGAGTGGAAAGGCTCGGAGAAGCTCAGCAGTTCTACGAGCGTCTTCTTTCCTCTGGTGCTGGAGCCAGTTTCATCACTTACAACATTTTGGTCGACGGCTTCTGCAAAGCAGACCGAGTTCCTGAAGCTGTGGAGCTGCTGAACGAGCTCGTGGCACGAGGTGGTGTGGTGACGAGTGCTCCTTACAACTGCATCATCGACACTCTTTTCAAGAAGGGGAAAATTCACGAGGCCGAGCTTTTCTTCAACAGGATGGAGAAAGATGGCGTCCGACCTCAGGAGGTTACGTTCACAGTTCTTATTGATGGCCTGTGCAAGGCGAACCGGGTTGCTCGAGCAAAAGAGATCTTCTTCAGCTACCTTGAAAGCGGAGGCAGCCCCTCGGTCGTTATTTGCAGCTGCCTCATGGACGGGTTTTGCAAGTACGGAGGCGTGGACGAGGCCTGGAGGATTTTCGAGCTCATGACCAACAGAGGCTGCACTCCCAACGATGTTAGCTGCAATATCCTCATCAACGGGCTTTGCAAGGCCAAGAGGCTCTCTCAAGCCCGAGAAGTTTTCGAGGAGGTGGTGAAGAGACAGGCAAAGCCGGACGTGGTTACTTACAGCACCTTCATGGACGGGCTTTGCAGAGCACACAGAGTCGATCAAGCCAGACAAGTTCTCTGCATGCTCGTTGACAAAGGCGGCACGCCGGACGTGGTGATGTACACGGCTTTGATCTCGGGGCTGTGCTCTCTCGGCAGGCTGGACGAGGCCCGCAAAGTTTTCGAGGTGGACATGAGAGCTGCTGGATGTGCTCCCAATAACTTCACGTGCAACGTTCTTGTCAACGGGTTTGGACTTGCCGGGAGACTTGACGAAGCTCGTGAGCTTTTCCAGAGGTTTGTCGAGAGGGGTGTCCAACCCGACTGTCGCACCTTCTCGGCCATGGCAAACAACACGGCGAAAACCGAAGGCTGGGATATTTACTCGTGGAACGAATGGATAACTGGAAAGTGGGATTGAGAGCTTGCAGGTAAGCCGAATGCTTGCTTACGTGGTGCTCGCTTAGGTCGGGATAAAGAGATATGGCGCTGATGCTCTACGCTTCTACTTCTTCCGCCTTCAAGAATCTCTCGCAACAGGACAATTGTGCTGTAAGTCTCTATATCACTTTGCTTGTGATTCAGTTTCTCACTGCCCCATTTCATTTGTTCCCTTCAGAAACAAGCGGACGTTGCGAGCCGGACGAAGATCTGCCTTCAAAGGCTCCCAGAAGGTCAGCTCCCAAAGCTAAGTTTTCCTTCTTAACTTTGAGCAATCAGTTTACAGAGAAGACTTGTGTAAGCATCGCCGGGAATTTATAGCCGGATTTTTTGTGCCTATACTACTGGGAGTTGGAGCTGCTGACGCAGAATTTGCAGATAGTACGAGTTTTCATTCTTTGCTTTCATTTTCTAAAGCTGCTCTTTATTTTTCCAGTGCCCGCTCTAAGAGGAAAGGACTATGGGAAGACGAAGATGCGCTATCCGGATTTCAAAGAAACTCCATCCGGTCTGCAGTTTAAGGTAGTGCAGAAGAATTTTTTGCATGAAGTCGCTCTCGACGACGATTTCTTTCAGGATCTAAAGATGGGAACAGGTCCCATTCCAAAGCCTGGTGAAACTGTAGTGGTAAGCGATCTTCTATCTGAAACCTTCAACTGGACTTGTAAAGCTCTCAATGAACTTTCTCAGGTGGACTGGGCTGGCTACACGATTGGTTACTACGGTCGCATTTTCGAAGCACGGAACAAAGCCAAGGGAGGATCTTTTGAGGTACATAGTTTTTTATATGATCCGTGGACAACGTTTACTGGTTTTCCAGGGAAACGAGAAAGAGCTCTTTCGATTCAAAGTCGGAAGGAGCGAGGTACTAAATCTCTAGCCTTGAAAACCTCCATGACTCGTTCCAAACTTCTAGGTAATCCCCGCGTTTGAAGAGGCTGTAGCATCCATGTCCGTGGGTGGAGTGAGAAGGTACCTTGATCTTACTTGCGAGCTTGTTTGACGAGATTTTTCGATCAACAGGATAATCGTCCCACCGGAGCTGGGGTATCCCGAGAACGATTACAACAAGAAGGAACCCAAGCCAACCACATTCTCTGTAAGCTCAACTACTTCGATTGATACAGTAACCAATGCTTCAATCTCTCCAGGGACAAAGGGCGCTGGATTTCGTGCTCAAGAACCAGGGACTCATAGACAAGACTCTTTTGTTTGATATCGAGCTCTTAAAAATCGTTCCTTCTTAGTACATCTTCTTCTCTTGTGCTTCGTACCGTGCGGCACTGCCCGTCTACCGCCATTATACCGCGCGGGATCGAAAAGTCTTGTGCATCGTACCGCGCGCCCGAGCTCGAGAAGGAAAAGAGAGGCATATTCTATGGCATCCGCAGGCCGGCAGCCCGCCCAAATTTAAATTCAAATTCTGTCGAGGTTTTGTTTCGAGCTCTCCAGCGAGCTTGTGGCGATGGCGGCGATGGCGGATCAAGAACTGGCGCTCTTCCTCAGCGGCAACGCCGGCATTCGCAGGGATCCGCCTCCACAGCTGCCCGGTCGCAGGGAAAATTGCGAGAATCTGCTCCGTCTTGCCGCGGTTGCATGCGCTCTGAATTCGCCGAGCCTGGCCGCCGCGATCCACCTCCACAAGAAGCGGCGCGCTCCCAGGGCGAGGGATGCTACTCGCATCCAGCGGACGGCCGCCGTGGTTCTTGGGGTTCTATCGGACAGCGAGGACTTGCTCCCCACCGAGAAGATCATCCGGGAGCTTCTCGGCAATAATCCCGACACCAGCAAGGCGCTTCGGCTGTAAACCATTCTCCCCTCTCTTCTTTCGATCTTCTCGCGTTCTTGATGGATCTCCTCGTCTTTCCAGGCTGCTGAAGCAAAAGAAGATCCAGCGTGTCGGGAGCGGCGGAAGAACATGCCCATTCCGATATTACAGCATCTAGATCGGATCGATCGAGAGGTGGAGAGAGGTATTTTGTGATCAAGAGCGTCGATTTTTTGGATCACGGCATCACTGGTACTGTTATCTGAGGTAGAACTCCTGGATCGCTCTCAAATCTAGGGAAATTTTCACAGCATTGCCATGCAGGAATCGAGCGCTTCTTGGTCTTCGCAAAAAAGAATCCCCCAGGCGACGAGGACGATCAACACATCGTTGGCCATTCTCTCTCTCCATAAATCTCAAAATCATCCATCACTTCTTTCCAGAAAGCATCGGCTCTCTCCTTTGCCCCCAAATCATCACATGGCAAGATGCCCGGTCTGGGAATCTCCTGTTCTTCTTATCGATCGATCGATTCCAGGCATCCACGGGCAAATCTCCAACGGCACTTGCGATCAGAGCACAGCGACGCCATTCTCCTTGACAGTGTTGAGCACGATCTCAAGCTTCTCTTGCAGCCTCTCATTCTTCCTGGGCACATACGTCACAGCGTACACATCCGCCTCCATTGCCCTCTCCGCGATGAGCTTGCCGATCACCTCGCAGGCGCTGGCGCTGGTGAGCGATGGCAGCGAAGCTCTCAGATCCTTGGCGTTGGTCGTCGCCACGGCCACCGTCTTGCTCGTCACGCGGTGGACGATCTTGGCGTTCACGTAGCGCGCGGAGATGTAGACATCGATCGAGAAGGGCCTCATGTACTTCTCCGTTGCGCGCTTCCAGGATTTGCGATTCTTGCCGGGCTCGCCGGATGATTTGCCCGTCCATCCCCCGGCTTGGATGATCATCGACGATCGCTGGAAATCCAGAGAAATCTCGATTCAGGCAAGATATTTCATCGATCTCTCACCTTGTGCTTGGTTCTTGGCAGGAATAGCTCCTGGCAGAGAGGATTCGAGGGAAATGCTTGAGACAACAGCATTGTTCTTGGAGCTCCTCAGAGTTTAGGGCTCTACCTAAAAGCCCGCCATGGCGTCTCTGGGATTGGCGGGAGCGCCCGCCGCGGCGGAGTGCACGTACGGAGGGCGCAATGCGCAGTGGCTCTCGCAGGAGCTCCCCCGTCTTCTCTCAATGCAGGTATGGATCGATCTGTCACACGTATTGTCTTGTGATTTCTCTCGCAGAGAAATCTTCCTGGCAATGGTCTTGTTCTTAGCCGTGGATCATGGTCTTGGGATCGTCACGAGGCTTGCCACTATCAGTTTCGAGGGATTATGAGGTGAATGGCTAGCATTTTTCTCTCTTGGTTTGTATTGTTTTGGTTTATTTCCTCGAAGGTTTTCTAACATGACGAGACGCCACGAGCTGTTCATTGCCGAGACCCAAGGGAAGCTCCAGCTCCTCTCGGAAGGCTCAGTCGAGTCGATCAAAACGAAGCTCAAGGTTCGTATTGTTTTGATAAATCTCAACTTCTCTATTCTGTAGCTTTTCATCGCAGATTCTTTCTAGACATCCAGGAAACAAGCCAGAGCCGAGGAACGATTGCTACTGGCCTGCTTACATAACTAGAGCTGGAGAAAGCACGTCGATAGAGGTGTGTGTGTAGCTTTTTCTCTCAGGTACTGAATCTGTTCATGAATAAATAGGTGGTGGTCGATGTCGAATCGCATAGTCCTTTGCTCCTCTCGGATTTGCAGGCACGTACCTTTGACGTTCATTGTTGTAAGCTGATGAAACAATATGCAGGCTCTTTGCGTCGAGATGGAGTATGTTTGTTATGGTCCTCATGGACGGACAAATCATTCTCAACACGTCGTTCTTCCAACGCACTACCCCGATTCGCCTTCCAAGGCTTCGTAAGCAAGTTCCGAGTCTCATCACAGTTTTCTAATCTACTTTTGCTTTTAGGGAGGCGTTGAAGATACAGCCGATCTGCACACATCTTCTGTGCCATCTAGATGATCCTCTGGAGGTTCTTAAAAGGTGAGATACCTTTGACATGGTTAGTTTTTTATTTTTTATTTTTTCTGATCATGTACGCTGCAAAAGAAAAGATACGCGCTTCCATACGTCAAGCCGGGCGATGTCATCGCCATAGGAGAGACGCCACTTGCCATAATGCAAGGTAACTGTATGGAAAATAGCGAGCTGACATCCTTTCAGGGCGTTACCGTCATCCTACAAGCTTGCAACCTGGCCTTCTTGCAAAGCTGGTGTGTCGTCTCTTCCATCCAACATCGTCCCTCGCTACCGCATGTGGTATGCAGGTACATAAGCTTTCCTTTCCCAGTACATTACGCTTATTTCGGATAATCACAGGCTTTGATTGACATATCTGGGAAGCTCAGGATTGTCTTTGCGGTCGTCATTGCAGTTATTGCAAGGTAAGAAAAAATCGAATCATTCTTGACGATATTACGCGTTGCAGAACATTCGTAGACTATTTGGGCAGCGAGGCATGTTCTACCGACTAGCCGGGGCACAGGTACGACTCTGTGATTTTCATGCATGTTACTTCAGATTTTATTTTGCAGGCTAGGCTGATCGATGATGTTACCGGAACTCTCCCACCTTACGATCAATTCATAACACTTGGGCCGGTACAGTTTTTGCAAGATATTTTTTTCTCAAGATTTCTTCTTTGACCCAGTTTTCCTGAAGGTTCACACTAAAGCCACCGTGGATGCTCTCAAAGCTAAAACAGGTAATCGTGTGAGATGGATTGTCTAGCATTGTCTAGCTTACCTTCGCAGGATGTGAAGTGGCTGTCGTGGACGTGAACGATTTGAAGAAAGTCCAAATACTAGCCGTATGTAAATGGATGCTTGGCTTTGTTTTGGAGACCGATCCAACCTCATCGTGTGTAGGCATCCGACGGTGTGGACCACGACACCTTATCGCAAGCTTTGATCAACAATCCTGCTGGTGAGCTGAAAGATGGTTGCTCTTCGTTCACTGACTAATTGAAACGTTTGCAGGGAATTCGGATGAGCAGACACCCATTGTGATTGTCAGAGCATAAAACTCCGAAACACCGAACACCGGAAACAACGATCAGATTCTTTGTAGGGAGCAAAGACCATAGCTGCTGAACTTTGGCTCGCATATCATCCGGGCTGCTGCGGATTCTCCGTGAACAAAGGTATTTTAAAATTCTAAAACGAAAGCCCTTTTTACTAGAATGGTGACGATGTTCTCCACGGTTCGGCCATGGAAATGTTCGATCGAGTCGAAGCAAGGTTTGGCCAAAGGAAAGATCCGCGCCTGGTCGACGTGAATGGAATTATCTATACGAGCACTCCCTGAGGGCGATTACAGTTACGCGCTCCCCCCAGGTTTGTACATCTAGGTTACTTACTCCTCCTGAGCCATGCCCTCTTTTCTGTTCAGATGTGTTACGTGATCCGCAATTCGGCAAAGTGGGGCGGCCTTCAAAACAGGATTATGGCCTCGTCAAGGAGGAGCAGTCAGGAAACAATGCCGAGGTTCTCAACTTCCGGCCCGCATTGGCTGCGCCTCCGCAGCTTGTACATCCCGTGTTTGGAACCTTTCTGGACAGTGTAAGCACGGTCGCTGCATCCGCGTTTTGATGATGACGAGTTCGAAATGACTAGTGCGCTGCGGAGGCAGTGGAAGGAGTACCTTGGGCTGCATTTGGAAGATGAGTCGTGCACAGGGAAGAGAACAAGCATAGACTTGGGTATTCGGGAAGAGCGAGGCTCTTCTGGTACTCACAAAACTGGAGCGGGGCATGTCACTGGCGAAGACGGAGCCCCAGTCACACGCATTACTCAATTACAAGCTCTACTATAGCACTTGCCGGGAGGAGAGCCTGATACATGCTTCCCGGTACTCATCCTCGAGCGTGTTGGACAGCTGCTTCAGGTTGGTGCTGCTGAGGCCACCAGCCTCTGGCTTGCTCCTTCCCGCAGCGATTCATAGTCATGATCAGGGTGCACGGTGCGGTTGTTTGTGCGGCGGTGAAGCAGGCGGCTCTCGGGCTGCGGGAGTATTACCAACAATCTGGCGCTTTATGAATTCTGGGACGACAGTGGAACAAATGCATCCAGATAAGCGAGTCTATCTTGTCAAGCAATGCGAAGACTGCAGTGTTCAGCTGTACGGGTATGCAGTCCACAAAGCGTGGGTCGACGCACCCCCGATATATGGTGAACCTCGAGAGGTGCCGCGTGGCTGGCTAGCGGTGGTAATGGGATGCTGAGGAATGCTGGCAGCTTCTTTACTGCCACAGCGATGCGGAAAATCTCCGGGGCAAGGTGGTGGAGTGTCTAAAGGCTGCTCACCAGGTGAAAGTTGGCGAGACAAGCAGCGGGGAGGCTACGTGCGGCGTGCATGGCTGGGCTATGGAGGAAGGATTGCCAAGGGCACTGTATCCAGCGTTTATGAAACAACGAGATCAACTGGGCAGACGGAGTTGGAGCCAACAGGCCACCTCTTGTGATGCAGGCAAGGCGATTCTTCCATTCTTTCCATAAGTCTCGATGAGCTTGTTGGAGTCCAAGGTATCGATGGCCGTACGGGAAGGTCCATGACAGTCCTCGTACGGAGCCGACCTTTGCGCGTAGATGAGTATTTTATATTAGCACGACATGCAAACGAATAGATGCGAATATGTGCCGCCTGTTGACTCATATAAAGTTCCATCGCAGGCGCGCTGCGAAGGCCCGCGAGCGTGGATGGCGATCAATGCTCTCGCCTCAGGTATGGCACATTCTCTAGCGCCGATCAGTGCGGCATTGCAGCCAGCGATTCTTGAGCCATGCTTTGCAGGGCTGCCGCTGCCGCTTCTCACGATCATCCTCCAGCTCCAGCTCCAATGCGGCTCTTCGGGAATCACAAGCTCTTACCGGCGGAGGCTCCAAGCCTCGGAGGATTTGCCCGTCGGCAGCGAATTTCTGCGACCTCCTAATCTAGCAGGCTGTGGAAATGCGCCAGAACAGGTTTTCTTTGCGATAACTCCTCGGTTTGATTAGGACTTTGTGTTCCAGGTCCACATAACGCAAGGGAGTGTTACTGCGGATTCCACGATCGTTTCCTGGGTTACTCCGTCGCAACCTGGATCGTTGGCTGTAAGTTTTGGAAACGAGACCGCAAAGTACTCAAGGACGGCGACTGGAAACATCACAAGGTATAAGTACGCGAACTACACATCTGGCTACATCCACCATGTGAAGCTCACTAATCTCGAGGTGTGTTTGATATGATCTACAGTTTTCTGGCCGACTCACTGTTGTGTCCTTGTTTTTGGTTCTTGCTTCCTTGTCCAAAGTATGCTACGAAGTATTACTACAGGCTCGGCGATGGAGAATGCGCTCGAGAATTCTGGTTCGTCACTCCACCGAAATCTGGCCCCGACGTTGCGTACACATTTGGCGTCATAGGTTTGTGTCTATTATATCCGTTCGAAACCGACAACTGCTTCTGTTGCAGGAGATCTCGGACAGACGTATGACTCCCTCAACACCTTTCAGCACTACTTAAACAGCAGCGGACAGACTCTTCTTTACGTCGGAGACCTCTCATACGCCGATCATTATCCCTTGGACGACAATAATCGTTGGGACACTTGGGGTCGATTGGTGGAGCCGAGCACCGCGTATCAACCTTGGATCTGGACGGCGGGAAACCACGAGCTAGACTACCGTCCAGCAATCGTAAGCTAGTGCGCATTCTAGACTCTACCAGGTTATATAGCTTACAAGTTTCCGGCGGTGCTAACTTCTTCCAGAGCGAGGTGATACCATTCAAGCCGTATCTTCATCGCTATCAAACACCCCATCGTTCATCAAAGAGTACATCGCAGCTCTGGTATTCGATCAACAGGGCGTCAGCGCACATCATCGTGCTGTCTTCATACTCCGCATATGGTTTGCGAATGGTTTGCTGAACTAATGTTTCTTATAAGCAACGGTCGTGCAGGGAAATATACCCCGCAGTGGGCATGGCTGCAGAATGACCTCCAGAATATAAACAGGAAGAAAACCCCGTGGGTGATTGTTTTGATGCATTCCCCGTGGTACAACAGTAACACCCATCACTACATGGAGGGCGAAACGATGCGTGTGCAATTCGAAGCATGGTTCGTGCAATACAGAGTCGACATTGTGTTTGCCGGGCACGTTCATGCATACGAACGGAGTGTAAGTTTTGTTCTCTCTTTTCTTGCTTTCTCTTCTTAATGCTTTTGTGACCACAGCACCGCGTCTCTAATATCGAGTACAACGTTGTCAACGGCCAATGCTCTCCATCCCGCAACGAGTCTGCGCCTGTCTACATAACAGTCGGCGATGGAGGAAACATAGAAGGGCTCGCTGGAAAGTAGGTGGTTTTTTCTTAGTTTTCTCTTTCCGGCCCTGTGAGATTTATACGGACATTTTCCCAGCTTCACGCAACCGCAGCCAAACTACTCGGCATATCGCGAGGCGAGTTTTGGTCACGCAATGCTCGAGATCAAAAACAGGACGCATGCGTTCTACTATTGGCACCGTAACCAGGACGGAGAGGCTGTAAGAAGCGATTCGACTTGGCTCACAAACAGGTACTTTGAATCTTGAAGCTTCATCCAAAGAAAACCTGCATTGTTGCATGCAAGTGTAAAGCCTGGATAGTAGGACAAAAATTAGAGAAACAAATGTTCAGTTTCGCCCACGTGTGATTACAGGCATAATCATGTGAAAGAAGAGCGGTCTTTGCCAAGAAGAAGGCTGCCACTTTGAAGAAAGGAGAGGGACATTTTTTTTCGTTCAAGAGAATTGCAACTCTTTTTTCCAGAAATTTCCTGTTACTAACTCTCACAGTGAGGTTATTGAGGGATTCCATGCAAGCAAAAGATCTCTTTGGACACCAACTGAACTACTTCCCCCCCTCCCCCTGGTTTTGCAGCTGGTCTTCAAACACCAGTTCTTTGTTTCAGATACATTTGAAAGTACATCGAACATCCTCCCATTAACCTCCCAAATGGAGGGAGACCAAGACCATCCGCTCTTCTTCCTAATTCCTAATGGCACGTCAAAAAAAGATTGCAATAACTTCATCATATTGATTCTGCTTAAGTTTCAGAGTTTGTAGACCGAGTTTGAAGGCAATTTCCTCCAATACTTATGAGAAACTAAAAATATGAACTTACAATTTCACCTAGCAATTGATATTTGGCAATCCAAGTGACAGCAATGTAGGTCACAGAATTCTAACCTCCCACGTGGAGGGAGTCGCCCAATTGTCACCCCTCAAATTGGTATTATATGAAATAAATCATCATTAAATAAAGCACTTAAAATCCTGGATCTCTGCCTGGAATTTCTGTTTACCTTGTGCTTCAGTGTTTTTGGAGGGACTCACCACACACCTGGCCACATGGCAGAATATCAGTAGTGACATAAGCCAATAAGGCTAAGTTCAGTGATAGATAAAGAGGTCTATAGACCAAGATTTTTGGAAAGGAGTATCCTCCTAAATGCCAGAAGGGAGCTCAACTCTTGGAAGGCTAGAAGACGAGGAAATCCAAGTAGTGCACTTAGGTAGAAATCAATGAGGAAAAGTGAGATAAAGAGGAGATGGCAATAGGATTTCAGTTAACCTTCAATGGACCTATAAGAGGTGCTACAACACCATCATTAACAACAACCACATTAAAAACTAGACAGTCAGGAAGCTAAGGGAAATCCAAAGCTTTCTAGGAGCCATCAAATGACCACAAAGGGTGAGAGGAAAAATTCTAGAATTAAGGATTAGCATCTTAATAAGAGGAGTTGCCATATGATCTTCCCATATAAGGCTGGAGTGAATCACATAAGAAGAGGGTTTTGATTTTAGTTTGCATTTAGTAAATTATACCACAATGAAAAGTTCCTCAAAGTGGAAATGGATGGAATAGGGGCTGCTAGATTACAAAGGTTTGGGTATCTTCCTCCAAATCCATGTCCCATCCAACTTTACCTAAAATCCTCCCATTATCAAATCCTGAGTACTTTTATGCACAAGCAAGCTGTTGACTAGAGCCATTTCTTGTCCAGTGCCTAAGTGCTCATTTGAGATTTTACAATGGAATGCCAACCAGAAAATAGCTCCTATGGTGCTTTAGCCTTGCCATTATATTGTAGCTTGTGACTTGGGCATCTTTGCATAAAGAAAGGTTAAGTAATTTACACAATTTAATTTACAATCTGGGCATCATTAGATATGGATGTAGATTAAGATGTAGAGAAGACAATATATAATACTTATTACAAATTCTATGAATTCTTTATTATGCCATTTGGTTTATGTAATACTTTGGCTATGTTCAATACAATGATGGATAGAATATGTAGAGATTATTGTAAACAACTAAGTTTTCTATTTTACTTTACCACATTTTTTACCACTTGGAGGAGTCTTACTTAAATTCTATTCCTAATTTAGGGACTTGCCAGCCTCATGAATGGCTTCTATGCCACTTTAGCTTTGCACTTGGTCCAAGTGTTCTATATAGCCAATCCCACAACAAACACACAAAAGGTACTATTGATATATTTACCCATTATGCTAAGATTATGTCTATTCACCTTTGCTTCATTAGTAGTCTAGTGCCATAATTCTATCTTTCAAAGATTAGGCCATCTATTTATAAATAGTCTTCCCAAGACCACACTTTAGCATCTTTAGGATGCTTAAGGACATGAGGAATAACTTTTTCCAATATCCTTTCTTTAGTCCATACCAAATCCCTCTCCATCTATGACCATATTTACCAACATTGCCATTGGATCAAGGCTTGAAGACCCAACCACTACACCATATGACCATATTCTTGGTCACTATATAAGAGGATTGTTCTTCTTCCTTTCCATAATCTAGAACTTTGGGATGACATTTCAAAACACTATGGCTTTATGCAAGCTTTGTGAATACACTCCTCACCTTCCGTCTTAAGGTGCCCTAGCCATGTGGCTAGAATGATGTTCCAATGAACCATGCTAGATATCCAAGTAAGTAGTGCCACCCATACTTGGATTAGGAGTATTTACCATCCGATCTCCTAAGGGAGCTAAAGTCAGCTCTTAAACACTTCACTAAATTACCCTACTTATTTGTCCATGTTCACTTTAGCTTTGGACTTCTCAATGGTTATATCATCACCTATCAAATAGGTATAACTTTTTATGAGACACAAATCCCAGAGCCCCAAAAGTGAAGCCGAAAGGTGCCACACAATAGTGGACAAAGTGGAAGCCAAACAAAAGTAACACGTTTGGACTAAAACTGTAGCACATGTGATCATAGGATGAGGTTTAGATATATTGTCATCATGGATCCTTGGAACCTTGGGGGATAAATGGGAATAAAATAGCCACTAAGGGCTTTCTCATCAAGCAATTACCCTTTTTTCCAGTTAGCTTAAGGGAAGAGAGATAGGGTGTGTTGAGCAAATGGCACGAGTTCGATTCCCATTGATTAGTGGCTACTTAAAAATATAATATACTCTTAAGTAAAATATATTCCTACCCCTAAATTTGAAATCGTACGTATTAAGCATCCATGCGTACGTCTTTCCTCTTGTGTGGAGTATCCACGGATAAAAGTATCTACCGTGGGACTGCGTATTAAGCATCCATATGTACATCCTTCCTCTTGTGTGGAGTATCCACGGACAAAGGTATCCACCTTAGGACTGCGGTACGGGTGGATGACTAGTTGCCTCACATGGAATAGCTGGTCTACACAATGGAAGGATTAGTAAATTTAGTGCGGAAATGGAAGACATTGACATCTCTAAAGGGCAAGGGGGGGGGGGGGGTGAGTGTAGCATATGTGATCATGGGATGAGATTAAAATATACTGTCACCGTGGATCCTTGGAACCTTAAGGGATAAATGGGGATAAAATAGCCACTAAGGGCTTTCTTAACAAGTAATTGCCCCTTTTCCAGTTGACTTAAGGGGAAAGAGATAGGGTGCACTACAAAAACCTCCGACTTGAAAAGTTGAGAGCAGGAGTGGAACTTTCAATGAAGTGCTCAAGGAATGAGCATAAAGCAATAAGTGAGTTTCTAAAAAAGGGACACAAGAGGATCAACATATGACACATGGAAGTGTCGAAATGGAGTCTGAGATAGAGTCCAAGATGGACCTGAGATGGAGTCCAAGATGGAGTCTGAGATGGTACCAAGACCGAGACTGAGATTGAGTTCAAGTCTGAGACCGAGACTAAGTTTGAGGCCAAGTCCAAGTTCAAGTCTGAGTCCGAATACTAATATAAGTTATTGGGTGAAAGCCCAAAGTGATCGTCCCTCGGGGAGGGGGCTACATGGGGTTCCAAAAGTATGGTAGGGAGAGTGTAAGGGTTAGACTCTAGTGGAATTAGTTTGGCCAGAAAAGGTCAATATAGCCCAAAAAAGTTATACCCACGTGTTGAATGATGATTTAACCACTAGGAAGTTCAAAGCTAGAATGAATACGGATAGACAAATGGGGCAACTTGGTGAAGTGTTCAAGAACAGGCTTTAACTCCCTTGGGAGATTGAATGGTTGATGCTCCCAATCAAAATGTGGGTAGCACTATCTACTTAGATACATAATGTGGTTTATCAAAACTTTGTTTTAGCCACCTAACTAAGGCACCCAAAGGTAGATGGTGGAAAAGAAGAAAAGCAATCCACTTGTGTGGTGACCAAGGATGTGGTTATATAGCAAAGAACTCCTAGAAGTCATTGAGACATAGTGGTTGGGCTTGTGGGTCTTGACCCAGTGGCAATATTGGCGAATGTAGCCATGGATGGAAAGGGGCTTAATAGGGACTAAAAAGAGGATATTGGGGAAGGTTGTTCTTTATGTTTGTGAGCATTTTAAGGATATTAAGGAGTGGATCTAAAATGATCACTCATAGACGGATGGTCCAGTCTTTGAGAGACAGGACTGTGATGTAGATGGTGTTGGACCACCAGTGTGGACAACTATAGGGGCTATAGGGGGTTCCAAAAGTATAGCAAGGAGAGTGTGGGGGTTGGACTTCAGTGAAATTTGTCTAGGAAAGGCCAGTGTGGCCCAGGAAGGCTATACCCACGTGTTGGGTGATAATATAACCATTAGGAATCCAAGGATAAAGTGAATACGGATAGTAGTTTAGTGAAATGTTCAAGAGCTAGCTCTAGCTCCCTTGGGAGATTAAATGGTCGATACTCCCAATCCAAGTGTGGGTAGCACTACCTACTTGGATATCTAGTGTGACTCATCGAAACTTTTCTCTAGCCACCTGGTTAAGGCACCCAAAGGTAAATTGTGGGAAGAGTACCTATGAAACTCGTATAGAGTCGTAGTGTTTCAAAATATCATCCCAAAGTCCTAAACTATGGAAAGGAAGAGGAGTAGTCCACTTGTATGGTGACCAAGGATGCAGTTATATAGCAAGGAAGTCCTAGAAGACATTGGGACATAGTGGTTGAGCTTGTAGGCTTTAACTTAGTGGCAATATTGGTGAATACAGTTGTGGATAGAAAAAGATTTGGTGGAGATTGAAAAAAAGATATTGGGGAAGGTTGTTCCCCATATTTATAGGCATCCTAAGGATGCTAAGGAGTGGATCTAGGATGATCACTCATGGACGGATGACCTAATCTTTAAGAGATAAGACTATGATGCAGATGGTGTTAAACCATTGGTGTAACAAAGGTGAATGGGTATGGCCTTAGTGTAATGGGGTGATATGTCGATGGTACCTTTAGGTGTTAGTCATGGGATCGGACAC